GGAACCTGGAAAGAGAGGAAGGAACCTTCTGTCTGAGCTACCTTTCTATACCCAGCACTTGTTGTGTGCCCAACACCAAACTCCCTCCTTCACCATCTTCGTCTGCTTCCCTCTTAGCTTCATGCATAGGAATTGGTGGGTGAAAGGCTCTGTTTTATCTCATTTTTTTCGTCCATAATATGAAATTGTTTGCATGACTTGAGGTTCCCAATATTAATAAATGACTTAAACAAGGTAGTCATCCGCTGAATATTACTATTCTAACCTTGATTATATTGAAGAGGCCACCCTGGAAAATATTTTAAAAAATCAAATTGCGGGGGAAGGGAATCCTGTCATAGACACAAAAAAGACTCCAATTATCTTTTCCCCTACAAGATGTTTGTTCTGTCCATGACTGCTCACACTTCAGCAATCTTGCCAGCAAGACTCAAAAAAAAAAAAAAAAAGCCTTCTTCCAAAGCCACAGCCTTGTACATAACAGATTGTACAGTCCTATTGCCTTAGGCGGGTTAGAGGTTCCTCTCTACAAAGAACGACACGGAGGAGTGCCAGCATCCAGATACATTTTGGGGGGTACTCTGCATGCTCTTGCCTTGGCTGCAGAAATGGGTTTACGTGGGGCCCCACTTTGCTATTTGGCGCACAAGAAGGTAGAGGGCTGCCGAGAGTTAAAGCAGTAACACGTCAGGTATGCAGGTGGTAAATGGGCTTGGGGGGGGCGGGGTGCACGGGAGAAAGGAGGGGGACTGCCAAAGAGGGTACAGGAGTCTTGAGAAAATGCTGGGAAATAAACAACCTCAAGGCAGCTGCGTTGCCCTTTTCCCTGCACTTCCCTCTCAAACGTCTGAGCAACCAGTTTGCTCCCAGAAACATGTTAATTGCCAACGGAGCTCATTAAGGCGTGCACATGCAAAACACAGCAAGAAAGATTAAGTGGACAAAAGCGCAATAATGAACTGTCAACAATCGGGCCCATCTACAGAACCCGGATCACTCAAGAACGAGGCATTTAGAGGCAACAAAGGATTGTCTGGGACAGGAAGAAAAGACGACCTAGACTTTTGTTTAGTCAACACAATTGATTACAAATGAGAGATTAACAGGATAGCTTCAGATTTTTTTTTAAAGAGGCAGAAAAGAAAAGTCCAATTAAGTCCACCGAATGTTAACTACATTGCGTTCCATGCCTAGCCCCAAAGAAATTCTCATTAAACCATCCCTGGCGATCCCTTTTGGAAAGTAATTTGTCTCCCTGATGGAGCAGAGAAAGAGAATCGTGTAAAAGAAAGCGTTAGTTCTTGGCACAATGAGCTTAGGAGACACACTAGAAAGAGCCAAAGGGGGAGTTAATGAGCATCTGACAAACTGCTTGGATTCAGGCCTAGAGAACAGCGATGAAAAGATGAAATTGGCCAACAACTATTCTTTATATCAAACATAAAAAGGCCAATCTGAAATGGGGCTGCTCAAAACTGGATGAAAGTACGTAACTCAAGAAAAGGGAGCCGTGGCCAGGCCCCGTGGTGGACAGTGGAGAGGCAGTGTGAAGAACTCAACAGGCCAAGAGTTAGGAAAGTAGATGAAAAGCAGGCTCTCCGGAGAGGACAACCTTCCCACCCCAGACCCCCGCAGGTGCTGAGCTGAAACTCTCGCTGCCCATCCCCCGCCCTCTGCGGAGTTCTTCTAGGAGCAAAAATGCATCAGGCCAGCATTTGAGAGGAACCTCCCAAAGTTCTTTTAATTTGATAATTAGCTCCTGACATTTACCCCCTCTCTTTAAGACCCCACTTGGCCTCTGGGGTACCATATGTTACCAACACATATTAAAATGATCTACTAGCCTTTCTCCTAGTAGCCAGGCAAAATTCTCACCCCTATTGACAGGCTTCCCAATTCCGCATGGGGGAAGAGGTGACAAGAAAGGCAAGACTGGTCACACCTGGCTTTGTGGAATAGGTCACAGAGTATTTAAAAGTTACATCTCGTCCTTGTCCATCAGGGTTAAGAACCCGTCTTATTTTAATGTTTCCTTATTGGAACAAGTAGGTCAAGGTTATATGTCTGTATGAGACAGGATACAGTTCACTAACTGTAAACATCCAGGTACTTCCAAGAGCAGTATTGTTTAAAGGATTTTTAACACAGTATCAGCACAGCCAGGATAGAATCTACAGGTGAGAAGAGTTTTCAGAGTGGCTCAGCAGCCAAGCACCCCAGAACAAAGCCTGTGCTTCCCATTTCTGATTAGGATGGATGCCACCCCAGATCCTGGAGTACAGCGTTTCGCTCTCCAGTCTAGGGTTGTTACTTTTCCTCAGATCCTTGGTAACAGCTATCACATTTCTGAGGGCTTGGCTTGCACCTCAGGCTTTGCTCATGCTCCACAGAGAGACATACATTGCTGTCTAGAAGTAAGGAAGGAAAAAGAAATATAGCAATTCAAAATAAAAACAGTCATCTAAGATTAAAGACGACTCTTGGTTCTCAAAGCACAGAGGTGTTACAGAACCTAGAGAGGTATGTGAGGAGAGGAAGAAGAAAGGGGCTTCCTGTCAGAAGCATAGACCAGCTTTCTGATAAACAGTGGGGGTTTCCCCCCTTTTCTCTGAGCTATACATATGACCAGTCTTTAATCCTTTTCATCAGGGGTCTTCTCTGGAGCTTTTTGTATTCATAGAGTTTTATTCTTTCCTGTGGCTCCTAAAGGGTGAATTTCCTAGGGTGATGTCCTACCATTTCTAAGGAGAAAGCCTTTTATAGAGTTAGGAGCCTTGAAACTGATGGGGAGGTAGCTGAGTTCAAATCCTGCCTCACCTGCACAATGTGATGGTGACTTTCACCTGTTTCTCTATCTGCAAATGGGCTTGTTGAGGGTGGCCAGCCTTGATGGCCCCATCTTGGTCCCTGTGGGAACAGAGAACTCTGTCTGACCTTTCCACATGCACCATGTACCTGTGAGTGTATACACACACACACACACACACACACACACACACACACACACACACAAAACAATTACTGCAATAAATGGAGATATTAAAAAATACCTGTCTCCCAGGCCTGTTGTAAGGATGGATGACTAAACATGTAACTGGGTCTTCAGAACAGCTCCTGGCAGGTGCTCACCTGTCGTTCCAAGGCCCTACAAAAGACTCCAGTGGTAAAACTTTCCCTTTTATAAGAAAACACCTGAGTCACTGTGCTGACTTCTCACATAGGAGCTTCTTTAGTCTCTTGTTTATTTGCCAACTAAGCTATTTCTGAAGATCAAATGCAAGGCCTTGGTCATGCTAAGCACGTGTCCTACCACAGAAGGCACCCCATGCTTTTCAACCACCACTTTAGTTCATGTAACCAGAACACAATGGAGATGACATTACTCTCATATGATGCCATGGTTTTAGCACAAGTATGCATAAAAGTTTTCGCCAAAGGTTTTTGCTAAACTCGCCTCCATGGTATTTACTGAGATACTTAGTACACCAATCTTGCTAGTGGCCCAGACATCTGCAATTTGTTCTGGTGCAGGCATTTTCCCAGACTCCACTTCGAAAAACAGTGACTTAGCATCTGTGTTCTCTCTCCCACCTCACCCCGATGCTGCCTATGACGGATGAGAGCATCACTGGCGATTTCTAAATGAATACCTTTGATCTTTCATTCAGTAAATATGGTTTGACTGCTTCTTAGGCATCAAGTTTTCTACTGCCTTACAGATTTACAAAGAAGAGGGTTCAGCCTCCGCCCTGGAGGAGCTTACAGTTTAGTAGAGGAGAAAACACATGCAATGAAAATCTCCACCCAATACGTGGTTATGAAGACAAAATTGGGCATTGAATCCAGTCTGGGTTGGTGTGTGTAGTGGGCATCTGTTATTTCTGCTGCTGATCGTCATTCTCCCGTCTGGTAAAAACATCCAACATCTCCTTTGGAGAAGTCACCCCTCCCCCCACTCTCAGTCCATATGGTTAAGGTGGGAGCTATTCCATCCAGCCTCAGGTCTCATGTGACCCAGGCTTGGCCAATCAGAGCACAGCAGCTCACAGGCACTAGCTCAGGAGTGAGCAGCTGGCCTAAAAGGAGCCAATGAGAGTCCTATCCAGGACTTTTGCCATGGCAGAGACTTTGTACTTGGGTTGACCGTGGTCTGCAGCTCTGGGGTTTGCTACGTTGTTAGGGAAGATCTTCCTGGACTGAGAGTACTGGAAAGGGACAGCCAGCTAGTCAGGAGCTGATGCTTCACCTCTCACCTCCTCAGACCCTCGTGTGACTGCAGTGGGGGTACTGTAGACTTCTCAAGTGCTTAACGTCAATAGTGACTGTAAGCCCTAAGAGCCCCAAGTGAGGGCTACATAGAAAATAGAGAAGACCAAGATGCCTCTCTGGGAAGAGTAGTTCCTGAGACGTCAAAGAGAAACAGGCATTAGCTCTGGAGGTGTGGAGAAAAACAACAACGACTTAGGCAGCCAGAGTGAAAGCACCGAGCCCAGAAGGCCCCATGATATGCTGTGTGTACAGAGCCTGATATCACTGATAAGAGTGAAGCCTAGTTTTTCTGAGCAGCTATGGAACTGTTAGCTAGAGGCTTGCCTGCCTAAAATATGGGTTCCTATTGGTGAAAGGAGTATGGCAAGATACACTGAACCAGGCTGCATAAGGACTCATCAGACATGGGACCCACCAGTGACTGCAAATATCACCGAGGAGTCTCCAGAGAGTGTGACTGGTTTGTGCATTTAAGATTCCATGACTGTCTGAAGCTGTGGCCTTCTGGAGTTTGAGATGTCTTAAGGTCAGTAGACATACCCCATCAGCGGAGGCCTGGCTGCACAGGCTACCTATTTCCAGGATCAGGGGTGGCCCTGAGTTGCATTGCCCTGGATTGTGGGCTTCCACAGACCAACTGATTTCAATTCCCATCGGCTGCTCTTGATACCAGGGTGAATTTTCTCCACATTTCAAAGACCTGGTTGCCTTGTCTTTACAACGTTTGATATACAGAATATATGATGGAAGTGTTGCAGGTGGGCTGCTCTGTCACACCTGTATCGTAGGTAGGTGGCGGAGAGAGAAGAGGCTGTGTCTACACTCATTGTTCCTCTAAGAACATCTGAACGATCACCAGCCTAACATTCCCCCAAAATAACAAGCCTGAGACAACCACCAGACTGGCCCAGAAAGCTAGCCTGACATTACAACCAATCTGGTGCTCCACAGAGTTGGGAGGTGGGGAGCAGATCATGCCAAAGATGACCACTGCTTAGTGCCATAATACACAAGCAGGGCATAGCGCTCCTGAAACCACTCCTGAGATGACCCCAGACACTCAGAGAGCCTGGGCGCCAATGAGAGTAAGTAGTGAAAAGATGGAAAAAAAAAGAGCAACAGAAGGACGTGGGCACAATGAAGGGAGGCAGAACTGGAGGCTCGAGGGTAGTGAGGAACAGCCTGATGTGAGTAGCCACACGGGACCATGGTGAAGTCCTGGCCTGTGCTGTCATGAGGGGCAACATCTGGGTCCATGGCCCTGTAGTAGCAGGGGTCTGTACCACTAAAGGCCGGGGTGACTTCCCTGGTCTGGGCGTTGATGTGTGAGGGCTGTGGAGAACTGGCCACCCTCACCTCGGCATCGTGGGAGAGCTAAACCTGGAGGCATGAGAGAAAGAGAGCTGATCCCACTCCTAGCCAGGTGCAGTCAGGACAGTGGGCCCCACACGTTGCCTGAGCTGCAGGAGAGCCACCCTGAGGATATGAATGTGGGAGAGCTGGCCCTACCACTCACCTCCCGTGAGGTTGAATGGGTAAAGGAGAGATACCCAACTCCAACTTTGCCCCTCATCACCTGCGCCAAGAGGAAGACCTGGTCCTTGGAGTCATGGGAGAGTGGGCCCTGAACCTCACGTAGGCAGCACAGTAGAGCTGACCCTAGTGGCAGGGCATGAGCAAGGGAGAACTGGACCTGCCACTTGTCTGCCATGTGATGACATGGGCAAGGGAGAGATACTCCCCTCACCCTTTGCCACCTACAGCAGGCAGGAAAGCTGGCAGGTCATGAGAGCAGGAGAGCTGGCCCTGTCCTTCACCTGCTGCAGCACTTGGGAGAGCAGGCCCTGCTCTGCACCTTCCCTGGGCAGCACAGTAGACCTGGCCCTGGATGTGGGGGTGCAGGTGTGCAGCCCTCCCTTCCCCAAGGATGTGAGTACAGGAGACCTGGCCCTGCCTTTTGTCTGTTGTGCAGCGGCATGATAAAGGAGAGATGGCCTCTTTCCCTCCCTCATACTCAGCATCTACAGCAGGGAGGAGAGCTAGCCATGAGAGTTGGAGAACTGGCCCTGTCCCTCAAAAACCGCAACACCTGGGAGAGCAGGTCCTGAACCTCACCTGACAGAAGGGTAGAGCTGACCTTAGATGCAGGGGTTGCAGATGAGCCAGCCCCAAGGACATGAGAGCAGGAGAGCTGGAGGACTGACCAGCTCAGATACATTTCAGACATTTCAGACCCAGATCCAGGGCTTTGAATTGGCCCCACTCCAACATCTACCCCATTGATGAACTGCTGAAGTTCATGGAGGGGCCGGCCCTACAGATTCAAAAACTACAGGATCCACAAGATACAGGGCAACAAGAGGACATCTGAGAGGAGCCCAGTGAGGTTCCAGTATTGATAGAGCAGTGGAAACCAGAGGCCTTATACCAGACCAATGAGTTATTGCAACGAACATTTGCAAGCAAAGAAGTGTGGACAAAAGGGTATACTGTGGGACACACTGTGACACACTACAGCTTCCACAACAGGAAGCTGTTTCTGTTGCGGGAGGGGTTGCAAAGATGGGGGATGGGTATGAGGCTGGGGGGGGAAGATGAGTGGCTTGGGGTACATATGTGAACTTCAATAAAACCAATAAAAAGTTAAAAATATTCAGAATATGATTGAAATGACATAATACATGGAAAATGCCTGGCATGTGGCTGGTGAATAAATGGTAGCTCTTACTCTCACTACTAATTAGGGCTGCTATTATTACCACCAAGATGCTGGGAAACTTGGTCAGTGAAGCGAGTGGGTCTGCAGTGCTCCTTCACAAATACAGTGCTATAAGCACAAGGGCAGATCTTTACCTGTTGGGTTCACTGTTCTGAACCAATGCTTATGAGAACAGATCGAACTGAAAGGAAAATTCCTGGTGTTTACTTTTGAGCCAGGATCCTGCCCTGTAGCTCTGGCTGACCTAGAACTCATCGTGTGGGCCTGCCTGAGTGCTAGGACTCTGAGTGTGCCACCATACCTGGCCTTTTCTCCTTCCCATGAGCTGGATGGTTACTTAGCCGTCTTCCAAGCAGTCACTCTGCAGGGATGAAACAAATACTTATTAAGGGCCTGCTGTGCGCCAGACATAGTGAACACATCTGATGTCCATCTCGTTGATTGTCAGAGTGAGATGGGTGATAAACCGAGATACATGGAATAATTTCAGAATTTGGTGAACACCGGGAAGAAAATGGACTATGATGGCTAGATAGAATGTGCCTTGGTAAGAGTTATTTGAAGTAGTTGGGACCTTCTATTCTGGTGCAATTAAAGTCCCTGGTGTACGGAGGACTAAGCTGCGTCAGACCAACTTCCAATTGTCCCCTCAAGCTGACCCACTTGCATTTAATTTTGAAAGCAACTCTCCCTCCCCAGCAGCCCAACTTACCCATTGATAAGTCCAACTTAAACTTTCTTGGAATTCAGAAAAGGTTTTTTCTAAGGAATTCCAACAAAAATCAAAGAACACCCTGGGTACCTGGTGGCCTAGGGCTTTGACCCACATACAATTTTCCTATCAAATGCAATGGTAATTGATCAAAGTGAAAAATGTTATAGAAAGAGATATTGCTGCCATGTTTTCCAACCGTGCATTTCCCAGCCAAGTCTCCAGATGGAATCACCGAAGCAACACATCCTTGACTTAAATGTGACTGTTTAACAGTTATATTGGGTAGGCCATATTTTCCACAAGGAGGTGGTTGCTTGTCTTAGGAACTTGAGACTCTTAACAGACTTTTGGGTGAGAGCTTTCCAGGATACCACTCTTTCTCTCACACTTCCTGCAGTCACAGAAGTCAGAGACCTAGCTGTGGTGTCAGGGGAGGGGAATGGTGGAGCGAACTGTTACACAAGCTCCTCATGCTGGCTTGTGGTGTGTCTGTATAGTGACAGTCGGGATGGGTCCATTGTTTCTGTTTGCCTGTCCAGCCTCCACTGTCCTTTCTTATGGCTTATGGGTTTTCTGGTTTAGCTTTCTTGCCCTTCTCGGTGAGCACAGAACATTTTCACTGTGAGGCAAAGCCCTTATATCCCATTCTCATGGGCCAGGAATATATATGAAGCTCTAAATAGGTCAGGTAGATGCTTTCTCTGGAACTGAACCCTTGAGTAGAGTGATCAGACCACAAATAACTGAAGGTCACACACTCCAAGGAGATATGGGGCAGCCTGTCACTCACACACGCTGACCTTCAGAATCTGTTACTACTTTCCCTTTGTCCTCTCAAGCAACCTCATGCCATTCCACTGAATTTTTGAGAACAGTTATCATGAGGTTTTGTGTGTGTGTGTGTGTGTGTGTGCCTTGAAATGAAAGATTGAAGGCAGCTATCTGTATAGCTGTGACTCATCTCCTTGTTATTGTCCTTTGAAATGGGACATATAAAACTTAGGATCACAGTTGTGGGTTGGGGATATGGCTCAACTGGTAGGAGAGCTTGCTGTGCCAGCAAGAGGACATGAGTTTGAATCCTTTTGCATTCACATTAAAAAAAAAAAAAAAAAAGGCCAGGCTTTGCTGTGATCTTTTGGCAGGCAGCTGAGGTAAAATTTGAGCCTCATATTGAGTAATGAACCCCGTCTCAAGGGAATAAGAAAAGAAGAGAAGAGGCACTCTGTGCTGGCCTCCATAGGTAGACATCACACAGCCGAGCACACACACACAGCCACACACACACACACACACACACACACACACACACACACACACACGGACTTCTTCACAGCAGTTTCAGTTGGCCTCATGTCTGGGAATCTTGAGATACGCAGAACCTCCACATTCCATGCTTCTTACATGCATGTGTTTGACTTTGGGGGGATTTGGGAGAAGATCTCTTTAGGTAGTCCTGAATGGCCTGGAATTCTCTACATGGCCCAAGCTGTCTGTAAGCCTGCTGTAGTCATGTGTCAGTCTTCTGCCCTCTGGTATTATAGGCCTGAAAAGCATCACTCAGCTGTGGGTGGGTTTTTCTTCCTCTAATCATTTTTTTTCCCAAGAAGCAAAAACTAAGTTGGAGGTGGTAACCTGTACCTGTAATCCCAGGATATAGCACTCAGAATACTGAGACACGGCATGAGTTAGAGGCCAGCCTGGGCTACCTGGGAAGACCCTATTTCAAAAACCAAAACCAGAAAAACCAAACCAAAGACAAAAACAAACACCCCAACAAAACAATCTTGCACTTAAGATAAAATAAAAATATCTGGGGAAGGTGGCAGCCAAAGTTGGAGTTGGAGTCTCAGAGACGAGAAAACAACACATAATGCTTGGCCTGTCAGTCACTTTGCATAGAAAGGTCTCTTAGGACAATGTGGTTCCTCTTCCACTCCCATGATATAGGCACAACTTGTTAAATGTGGTTAAATAAAAATGGTAGGAGGATCTCAGCACAGACTCTAGAAACAGTTGAATGAGATCAACTGAAATCTGGCTTCAAGGGGTGGTACTAAAATCATTTTGTTCATCTTATTTTGCTTTTTTTTTTAAGGTGGTGGGGCAGGGTATTAGGAATTGAATCTAGGGCTTTGCATAGTTTGACTGAACACACCCTGTGCCTGAGCTACAATCGGGCCTTTGGGATTTTATGTTTTCCAAGCTGTGCTAAGTCTCTCAAGCTTTCCTTCAACACATACTGTAGCCCAGGCTGGTATTGAACTTGTAATGTTCTTACTAACCCCAGTCTCTTAAATATCTAGGATTATAGGTGTGCGCCTCTTCACATGGCTCATGGCTTTGGTTACTGAATAGTACACATTTAGAGCAAGAAGATTTATCCTTTCTTCTTTATGAAAATACATTCCTACAGTACCACTCAGGACCCCAC